GGGAAATTGATATGAAAAAGGTGATGATCCGGAGACGATGAAGTTGAGGTTGAAGCAATGGGCTCAGGTGGTTGCTTGTTCGGTGCGACAATTTTCCGGCGAACCAAATTGATGTTTTGAATTATTGTAATATTTTTGTTTCCTTTATAAAAAAAAAAAGAAAAGAAATAATTGTTTGTTTGTTCTGATATGATTGTAAAGAGAAATGAAGACAGTTTTGTAAAATAGATGTGATTCTTAGAAATTCAAAATTAGAAATCTAATGGTTTAATTTAACCAATAACTATAATAATTTCATTTCTTTCTTCAATACTAATTTTTTTTTCTAAAAATAATTGTTACATTTGGTTTGCTTTTATTTGTGTGTGTTATAATTGATTTGGAAATCTTTGGGATATGAATCAAAAGCCTTAGAGACATGTGTAAGCTTGAAATTGAGTAGCTATCATGAGAGGTTTTAGGATGTATATTGCATACCCTTCGCAACCATCACAACTTCATGTTTCTTTTGTAGTGATTTGGTAATGTAGTTTTTTGTTTCTCTAGTCTCAATGACATGCAGATAATGCGTATTTAAATCTGAATAATGCAATATGCATTTTATACCCAGTCAAGCTTTTTCTTAGGTTATGGTTTGGAATTCCTTTGATCAACTAACTACTCTTGGATTTCTATTGTCTTTACATGTTAGCTTCTAAAATTGAGATTTTTCAATTGTTACATCGTCATAACAAGTCTATTCCGTTGCTTGCTTCTTGAGCTGCTCCTAACGCAAACTTCTCTTCTGGCTGCTTCTTCCATAGGTAATGCGCTGGGTCTATCCACCCTCTATGCACCACAAACTTCTTCTCTTTTTTGGCCCAACATGCCTTCTCTGTTTCCACATCCATAGCCACGACGTGTGTTACGGATGCATCCACTTCTGTTGCGCACGTGGCTCCTAGTCCCTCAGCCATCCTCCACAGTGGGTGCCCCTCAGGCTTAGAATGGGTCGGGAACACCCGACTGAACACTATCTTTACATCCTTTAAGGATTTCTTTCCGGACTTGTTTCAATATTGACCTGACGTCTTTGCCGGATGTTTCTTCTACTCCATCCTCAAAGAAAAGACGATGTGTTTGTTTAAGGACTCTAAGAACAGTCGCAAGTGTTCCATCCGGTTCACTCTCATCGCTCTTCAGCTGTGATAGAGACTGGTATTTGTGCTCAAAATCTTTGCAGCTTGAAGCAAAAAAGTGATATCTCTCTATCACAATCAGGTTGTCCTTATGATTTGGCCACACCTGTGCATCAAACCAAGAATCAGCACTTCTTATCATGATCAAGAACAATAACATAAAACAGTGACAAAGTTAACAAAATACTTGCATGTTCTGAATCGTCAAGAATCAGAACAGAACTTTCTTGTCCCAGCACGACGTCTAGACTCTTTTGATCTTTCACGGTGCTGTCGTCCCGCGAAATGATCCGATCACCAAAGTATTCTCGTTTGGGGTCCAACAGCTTGGCCATCTGTTGTGCGTATCGCCCATCTCCCATTGTGTATATATACAATTCAAACATCTCGCTTGCTTCTTTTAGAAATGAATGAACAAACGGCCTCAATTTGGTCATCATGTGCATAAATTCCAGCATAAATAGACTGCCACTAGAAACATCTGGAATCAGCAATAACAAAAATATGAAAAAACTTCGTAAAAGTATATAACACATGCAAACATCTCAGCTGGAACAACAAAAGGACAAGTACAAGACTGAAGTTACATGTACAAAGATCTCACAATGTAGCAGAACGTATCACCTTGAAGAGAGTGCGTGTGGCTTTTCAAGTATTCCTCCTCTTCTCTCAGGTTAGTAAGTATGGTTGTGTTAAGCAATGTGTGGTCTAAATCAAGAACCAAACACAACTTCCGCTGGCGTTGCAAGGTTATCATATCTGAATCGCGCAACCGCGAGATTTCATCTTGGTTGAGCCTTATACTCTAAAAGAAAACAAATTTCCCAATGCTCTCATCATCACTCATAACTAAGAAGGTACGCTGAGATTTGCAAAGGAAATCGAACAGAATAGCATACGTTGTGTATATATCCAAATGAAACACCGGTTTCTTCCAACTTTCCGCCACAAGAAAAACACATGTTTTCATAGGAACCAGGGTGTTTGCATGCTCCATTGCCTGAAGACGCTTCTGCAAGCATAACAGATTCAAAAGTCATTAGAACAGATGACAAACACCAAAAGTAAGGGGTTAAAAGAGCTTCACCAGCCAGAGAATCCACAGCTTCAATCCCCACTTGATCTACAGTTTCTATATGCTCAAGCTTTCGTCTCTTCAACCTAATATATGATTGAGAAACATGGCCCAGTGACACTGAAGCTCACCCAAAAAGGGATTTGATTGATTGATTGATATGTGCGTGGAATTACCTATGATCGGCAACTTGAGCATCATCCTGTGATTCTTCTGAGTCAGACTCCAGCTCAGTTTCAAGGAAGGCGGCAAGATCATCACAATCACTACCAGAGGAATGCACTGGAGAATCACTCGCCAAACTCATCTGAAAACCCACACGCAAAATCTGAGCGATTTCACCAATTGACGCAAAGCAAAAGTTCACCAAATTGATTGAATAAACCCTAATTAAATCGGATTCCGGATTGAAGTTGGAGCTCGACGGAGATGTTAATATCAACGGAGAAGATGCGAGTCTCCGATCGACGGAGGAGAAGAATCGCACAAGAGCTTCTCTCTCGGATCTCTTTATATGGGAACAAAACCTCCGATAACCTATTGTCTTAATTTAAAATTTCAAATGACCCTAACAAAAAAAATTTTCTTTTTTCTTTTCTTTTTATCACGAAATAAGGTAAAAAAACAAAATAAACAAGCCTAAACAACTTATTTACGATCCAACCACTAAAATCCGACCCGACACTTGACCCATTCCACATAAAGCGGATAAAACCGCCCACGATCCTTCCCCTCCTTCATAACTGGATCTTTCTTCATAACTTCCCTCCCCACGATAAAATTGAAATAAAAAATCAGTATAACTAGGGGATAACTTGGCTGCTAAAAATTCACAAAGACATCAAATTTCCATCCTCTTTCGTGCACCAATCCAACTGCGAACGGATATCGACTGCGAACTAGGAGAAAGGTAAAGGTTCTTCAATCGAACTCGTAAAATCTTTTCAATTTCGTAGAATTGGGTTTGAATTTGATTTTGGCGATCCTAGAAACTATGCCTCGGCAAGCGCGTACAAAGTTTCCATCAGTTGGAGTAGATGGGAATCCGTTACYCMTTCCTTCTGCGAATCCAGCGTATGAAGCAGAAAAAAGTSTTTACGAAGAAGAGGAAACCGAAAGTGAAGAACAAATGATTTCGGACAATGAAGGATCCGAAGGTGAAGAAGAAGATAGAGCTTCAGAGGAGGAAGGAGCATCCGGAGAGGATAGAGACGAAC